TACTAGTTATTTTTATTTCATTGTAACATTAATTTGACTTGAAAATATAAGTTTTTTAATAATCTACGATCATTTAAGCCTCTTTTAACTATCTTTTAATTTTTATTATTGTACCGTTGGTATTAAACTTATTTATTAAGTTAGATAAAATGCCCTAATAAGTTAAAAGTATCCGGTGTACCTGTGTGGATTATAATATTCTCGAAAAATAATTGAACCATTATTTTCCTATAAAGGGCATTTTTAAAATAGAGTGACTTTATAATCAATTATTGGGCGTGTTAAAACTTTTATTATATTTACACATAATATATTCATATACGTACAAATAATTGTTAATGAAAATTATGTTATTAAAAACCAACTAAAACGTCATTATAATAATATGCAAACCATTCAATAAACTTTTATATTGTTTATATTATATTTATTTGAATACAACGATAAACATAGTGTTTTGCGAAATCATTGTGTACAATATGTGTAAACAATTTATATAAACCTATTAATATACAGCACTCACTTAGATCTGAACGTGTGTTACAAAACAGAGCCAGATAGAGAGCTTATGGACTAAACAAAAACGAAGTACAAAGAAGGTAATACAATTTACGGCAAAGAGAGGGCGAGGAATAATAAGACGGAAAATCAAACGACTGCAGTGGATGGCCAAAACTGTAAATCCACCTCAACGATGTATAAATTATTTTGTTCTGCTGATTTTGGATTATTTCAACGCTTCGAGGAAAATGAAATAATATAATTTAAAGTACCTATATATCAATGAGGGGTTCTTCCTAGTACGTATATTGTATGGAGATATATAGCTAGTAATTGGTATAAGTAAATACAAAGAGAGTAAGAAAAAATAAAAATTAAATGAAAAAGATCGTCTTCCTCTCACGTTCCAATAACACGTAAACAACTTTATGAACACTGTATAATAATAATATGATATTATGTATTAATATAATAACACTAAATCGAATATCAGTATTGTAAAGTACTTCAATAAAAAAATATTCAAATACTTTTTAAGTACTCAAATATGTTTTTTACACTTGTTTTAAAGTACTTGGATAAAGTAGTTTGAATACTTTTTAAAGTGTCTGTGTTTAAAAACAAATACTAATTGGTAAATACTTTTTTCTTTTTAGTTTAGATAGTTTTTTTTTTCAATTCAAACAAGATTCAAAAATATTTGAGGAATGTGTGCATTTGAGTTAGAAAATATGGTAAAGAATAGGGAAAATCTAGTATGTTGTCAATACTCTTATTGTCAACTATTAAAATATAAAAAATAAGAATGATTACTTTATGCGCATTAATTACTTTTTTAAATAAGTATTTATAATTGTATAGTTGTATTACTTGTATTTGAATATTCTTAATAAGTATTTTTTACAATATTGTTGAGTACAATAAGTACGTATAAAAAAATATAGCATCATATCATATCGCAGCATTTTATAAAATCAATTTATTGAGGTGAATCAGATGCTGTCGGTAACCGGAAATTGATACCTATCTAGTTACAAATTGACACAATTTCAGGGACAGGCTCGGAAACTTTGAGTTTGATAAAAATATCCAAATATTTATGCATTGTATAGAGCGACCGTTACCATGTTTCGCAGTCATGTCTATTCAATTTAACACCACATAATCAACACAATAATCTAAGGGGTTTAATAATCTATTATAATTTATATTAGTATAAATTATTTTGACTTATATAGCTGTATAATATTATTATTAAGTCAAACCAAACAATCTTAATAGCTTACATTCAATAATCTTTATTTCATACACGTTTTTATCACAATATTGCATTATGCAGTTTAAATTTTTAGATATTGCAACCTTACTTGTATAGGTACTATATGGTATTTAATTAACAGTTGTCTAAAACATGTATGTACTTATATTTTAATTTAATTTAATGATTTCAAATTCATGCAACAAATATATCAATTCACACAGCTGTAAAATTTGTTATTAAAATAATAAAATTTAACCAATGTTAAATATCTTGTTGATAACTACAGAAACCCACCATGACTTAAATTATAAAATATAAATATATTAAACATTAAGAATTATATTTTAACACAATTATGTTTTATGTGAGAAATGACTTTTCTGATAATTTTATCTTCGCCACTTAAAAAATGAATATATCTTTCAAAAGCAATTTTATGGGTGAATTCGTCCAAAATCGTATTTCAATCAACCGGATTTCCGTAGAAGGAAAATCGTAATGGATGCTTTCTTAAACCAATATAATAGTCAAATTATCGTTTATTAAGTAACATATTCAGCAAGCTACTTAATAGTTTAATACTTCGGTTCTCATTCTGTTTTATAAATGTATTACAGACAATTGGAATTACATGTTTTTCTTTATTTAAATTTCAGATAAAAATGTATCTTACACATTTGTATGTGAATTTTTAAGAACAAATACATTTTTTATTTGTTGAACTGTGATTGAGTAGATAAATGTGAGAGATATTTACTGTAAAAATACTTTTACAGTAAAAATCGATGGTAAAAAATGACTCTTAAATAATATTAATAATAAATCTACTTAAATATAACTGAATAACGTAATAAAATTAATCTTAATATGAAACTTATAGATTTTTCTTAGACTTTTTTTGTTATACTTAACTACATTCAAATTTTCATATCAATAAATTAAAATACTTCATAAAAAATAAACTAAATATGAAAATTCAATGATAACCATTAATTGTATTTAGAAATATAAATTAATACATATATATTTAATTATTAATTAAAAAATATTCAAACTTTGTTAAAAATTTCATTTAAATTTATATATTTGACTTTTTGAATAAAATATTGAAAAGGTTAAAATAATTTAAAAGATTATTTTATTAAATTTAATTATTCAAAGTATTTATTAATAACAACAAAATATATGAATAATTTTATTGTATAATATATAATGGATTAAATGTATATTGACGCAGTTTTTTTCAATTTTATACTGTTTAATAGTATTAAATATCTACGTAATAATAGTTGTTAAATTTAGAAACTTAATTTAAATTTAAATCATTTTTATTTATTTGTAAATATTTAGTTCTCTATTCTTGTTTCAATTTTCTTTCTGCTATTTTTGAACTTTATAGAAAATTTATTAAAATTTATGCGTATAAAATGATTTCGTTTGAAATTAATTTCAAAATAAATCAAATAACCAATGTCCATACGTTTTTATTTATATTGTTATATTATACATAAACTTGTATGGCAGCCATTTATGTCATTAATATTTACTTATAAAACGAATTGTATCATATAAGACATATTTAAGATGTTTTTTTCATAGAGTTATATAATGAGCTTTTTCGGTTGTATTTAGGTTATTGTTGAAATTTTTATGTTGTTTAATTATCCATTTTTATAGATAAAGTAATCCCACTTCATTTTGCAATTGTTTGTTTTACATAAATCAAAGGGTTTTAAATAATATCATTGATATCCTTAGTAATTTGTTTTAGAGAGTTTGTATTTTTTTTTATTTTTGTTGGAGAAACGGCATGCTGGGCATACTTAAGTTAGTAGCGGTCTTATTATTGATGTAAATAACAGAAAAGAGCATTTAATCTGTAGTGTTTAAGTGTGGTTTAATGAGGGGTAAAGAATTTTTATCATTACGTACTTGATTTAGTTTTTTATTGATGTGAATTTTTCAAGTTAGATTTTTATCTTAGTGTAACCTAACTTAACCATCCTTAAGTATTTCTCAGAGTCATTCTTGCAGTTACAATAGATTTATTGATTGTTAATTTGCACAGTTGCACCGTAGATTAAAGTATTTTCTCAAAGTCAATATTATAGCTTCATTTTTGGTTGGATTTGGGGTAATTTTTTATCTTAAAAATGGCATTTTTTTTTTTTACATTTTTAAAAGATTCGGAATTTTTTAATTATTTTAAAGCACAACCGAATAGAAAATATAACGACTGTAATTTAAATACATAATTTAACTAGAAAAATATTCAATTTGAAGTTAATCTGTAGACTAGTGGTTGCCTATTATAATATTGTGCGTGACTGAGTATGATATTATGTTCTTAAAACAATGTAATATAAAATATTTAAAATATACAGATAGGTTTTTTTCACATTCCGTGTTAATTATTACATCAATGACTGTGTACTTACGTGGTTTTCTAAGAATAATTTTTATATATTGATTATACGGTATAATAAAATTTTAAAAATAGTTTAGTTAAATAATGAAAACTTCAATTATCAGTTAATAATAAAACTAATACATATTTTTCCTAATATACAACAATGAAATATTTAAAAATTCATAAAAAAAAATGTATTTCATGGAAAATAATTATTTTAGATTAACACACGAAATTAATTACATTCTGCTGAAATATAATTTCACTATAGTATATATTGTATAAAGCTCGATTTCTTCGTATTTCACCTTTATTATATCACTTTCAAAGATTTGGATTTAATTTTGAACACCATAGCCGCAACAAAACAAACGACTCAAAGTAAAGTTTTGTAGCTTTCGCTGAGTGCAAATATTTGCTCCAAAGGATTAAATTTAAACTCGTTTACTGAATTACAGGCCATACATAAAATTTATAAGAACAGACGATATTACCGTTCATCATATGCTTTTATAATAAAACGTCTTTCATTTGAACTTTTAGATAAATCTTAAGTAGATTATTTGAATTCACATAACAATGACACTATATATATTTAAAATAAAAAATCGTTACCAATACTAATAATTCCAATAATTAATGAAAATTACTTAAAAATCACAAATAGTTATTAACTGAAACTTTGGAAACACTGTGTTCAATTTTTCGTTTATCTATGGTAAAATTGAATTTGTCATAAAAACTTTTACATACTGTTTTTTATACATTCTAAGCTTTACGTATGTAATTATCGTTAAGTATAAAATAATAAAATTTCAAAAAAACATCATGACTGGAAACCTCTTGGTGAATTAAATTTAAAACTTGTTTGTTTCGATAGCATACATAATTATTTATCGAATTTTATAAATATGATTGGTATATATTTTAGGTAGGTATAACTGGAAATCATTGTGTTGTTATTGCAGCTGAAAAATATTATGAAAATCAAAACAATATTTGTTCGCTGGATGGTAAAATCACTGTCGCCTGGTCAGGTAAACTAAATAAAACTAAATTAAAAATTTTAAAGTATACTTATTAGATAAAAATAGATCTCAGAAATTTAAACGCAATCGACCGCTCAAAAAAAAAAAAAAAAAATAATAATAATAATAATAACCATTTAAAGAAATTAAATTATACTTTAGTACATTAAAATTAATCATATGAATAATATGTTGTATAAATATTATGTAACTTATACAAATAATGCACATTTATTTAGAATAATGAAATTTTATATTGTATAAAATATGATGTAAAATTAATCACACAAAATGAAAAATATTTTTAACTGAATAAATAATAAATAATAATTTTTTATGACACATTTATTTCCTACTTATTAGTTCAAATAAAATACATACTATGAAATTTAATAGATCTGTCTATTTAATACTGTAAATTTCTAAATTAAATAAATATTCTTTTTAAATGTAATTCAAATAATAATTAAAGGAAAATTCCAATGCATTTTAAAAAATTATTTACAGTTTTTTTTTATTTTGTAGATAAAAACTAATTTTATTAATTATTAGTTAAATAAATTAAATTATTTCTAGGATATTCATCCGAGTCATTGATGGTTGTTGATAAAGCTAAAATATATACTAATAGTATACACGGACTAAATTCACCAGCTAATCGTATCGTAGAATTTTTAATTGGTAATCAAGCATTAGATAATTATTAATTTAAAGATCAACAATAATTCTATTATACATAAAAATAAATATAATAATTTATATTTTATGTATAATAGTACTTAAAACATAATTTAAAGTTGACTTACAGCAATTTTAGAAACTACAAAGTATAATAAAGTTAACTAACCATACTTATTTAGTAAATTATTAAAAATAATTTGTTATAAGTACTTATTAACTTGATTCAAAATAATTCATATAATAGCAAAAAATGTATCCAAATTGAAAAAAAAAATTATTTATTCAATAGATCCTGAAATCAGAGTTCTCAATAATCTACCAACTTTGCCATATACTGAATCTTTTATGGTTGCATCTTGTGATAACAATGGGCCAAATTTATTTGTAACTGACACGTATGGTACCATATCACATGTTCTTGTAAGTATCTTATTATTTATTAATTAAAAGAAAATAAATATCCCGGGCATTTAAAATTTCACTGACGAGCGACTTCTTACTCGTGTAAATTAAAGCCAACAATACATTTGCTTCATTCGCTTACTGGCTATTGCACATTTTTATGTTATACAGAATGTGTGCTTAATTCAAATAATATGTAATAATAATAAAAATCAACAAAATTGTAGTTGAGAACTGTTTTAAAGATAATAATTATTAGTGATATTAGTGGTATAAAAGATATATTATGTATTTAGGCTAGTGCTGTAGGAAGAAAAAGTGATCTTGTTACAAATTTTTTGGTTGAAAATTATTCAACTGCTAACAAAAGTATTTTAGGAACCATAGAGTTTGCATTGAAGACGCTGTGCGTAATCAGTGTACCAGATACTAAAATTATTGGTGTTTCAGTCACAGCATTTAATAGACCATTTGAAGCAAGTACACTTTTCTTAAAAATTCCAATAGACTTAATCGTTGAAATATTTAATTGGATTTATTAATATTTTAGGTTGTTGATAATAACATAATCAGTCAATTTTTATCAAAAATTGAATTATCGAGAATAGTTGTTAATGATGCAGTAAAAATTAATAATATTTAAAATTATACTGAAAATATTTTACATTTTTTTTTTTTTTCAAAAAGATATTTTTTTTGTAAAATTTATAATTGTATTATGGTTTATTTTTAATTGGCTAAAAATTATATTTAAAAGAAATTTGATTTAATATTTTTCTTGTATAACTTTGTACTAAAATAATCCTAAAATAAATTATTTCGTTTTAATTATTATTCTTATTCTTTTGTTAACCTTTTTAAAAGTTAAGGAAAGTATGACCTGGCATTATTCTTACAACTATAAGTTTTCAAAATAAAAATTTATCTATTTAGGTGAAGATTTTTTAAGCTAAGAAAATTTTTTAAATTGAGATGATTAGTTAACTTTAATAGAAATAATATAAAATGATACATCTATATTAAATTTCCATCAACTACTGAATAATAAAAAAAATACAATCATGAATTTTAAAATAAATAGATAGTTAATATAAGAGTATTATTTATACTAAGATATACTAAGTCAACAGAACAGAAAAAATGTGTATTGCTCTTCAAGAAATTTAAAAAAAAAATCATTCATTTTTAATAAGTATACTTGAATTATTATAATTTCGTTTTTAATCTAATTAAAATATACATTTGTATTTTAATACGTTGGTACGATTAATATTAATATTTTTTGTATATAGATATTATGATAAACTGTGTAATTTGTTAAATAGGCGATAATAAATGCAATACTCTAATTTACCAATTTAAATTAAAATAATTAATAATTTTCGTATAAAATATTCAAATTATATTTTCTTAATATATATTTTATATATTTTTTTTCATGGTTGAAATGTGTTAGATACAATGATAATTTCTATGTAAATAAGAAAAAGCTTAGGATGCATTCTATTAAACAAAGCAAATTATCTCACTTATTGAAAACTACGGTAAATAATTACATGAATTAATAAACCTTGAACATGAAATACCAACGTTATAAATATACTGGACGTTGGTATTAAAATTTTAATTATTAATTAATTGAATTTAAATACTGTAAAATAGCATTAATACCGAATGATAGCATCTTTACACAGTTTCGTCTTACAAGAGTCTGAGATTTTATTATTATTATTATTTTTATAGTTCAATGGAGTTTACGTTTACGAGATACCTAACTACTTCAAGAAAAAATCCAATTACCTTTGTGATACACGGTGATAAAGAATACATATTGTCTTAGTTATTTTTAGATTAAATGTTGAAAATTATTTTGTAAGCTGAATCTTGAATGTTCAATTATTATAAATTTATATCCATTTATTGGTTAATTTCATTAATTTATTTTACATTATTACTTTTCTCAGTGAAAAATAAATATATCATACTATTTGTACTTAAATCAATGCAATCCTTGACTAAAATAAGTATTTTTTTTAATATTTGGAGAAATAAGCCACTAGGTACTGTACTTAAGCATGCCTTAATAGATTAAAAACATTATTTTAATTATTATTTGATTTAAATAGTTGTATATTAAATTTTAAATATAATTTGGGAACAAAAATTTATTCGAGATTAAAGTTTTGAATTATAAAGAATGATACTACACGTAAATTTATAAAATTTAAAATTCTAAGTAACTTTTGAGATTTGGAAAAATATTTACCTAAATGTTAAAAAAACAACGTTTCTTTCAAATGTTTCAAATAGTTTATCCTAATCATTCATCCGGAAGGGAAAAACATATTTTTGAGCATAAAGTAAATAGCAATGGTAAAATAATGTTCTTTCGTGAATACATGTTTGATTCTTATTCATTTTTTTTTTTTTTTTTGTGCTCAACTTCCATTTCCTCGGTGTACCCAGAAAGTTATTTCCATTTTATTTTCATATCGAACGGTCTACCCTCTCTACCATCCCATCAACTCTAAGCTGTTCCGTTAGTCGGTTTTTATGTACAAGTCGACTGAAAGGTTTTCGGGTAATTCCATTGTCGTCGTGTCGTGGTAAAGTTTTTACGCATATATTATGATATTGTTCCACGTGGTAGTACGTCTGGGCGATACGGAAGTAGCACACGAAAGTTTCGGAATGAATATTCGTGTGGGAGGAGTAGCAGTTTATTTTTTTATTTTTTTAAAGCAGCTCAAATATGATCTAAACATATTTTTGTCGCACGCGCGAACAACCTTGTGTAAGTACGTATTCAATATGTAAAATACACTTGAAGGAAAAATACATCGTTTTAAATAGTGAAACGTTCTTGTATTTTTACTTATCGAAATGTGTGGCCACATAATTTTTTTTTTTTACTTAATATCAATTTATTATTACATACAACTTTTACGAACAATATAAAATTCCATGATTTGAAATATTAATTTTTAAGAAATATATATATTTTATAAGTAAGTAATGATAATGATTTAATGATTTAAAGCATAAAAATCAATATAATAGGTAAGTAGATTTTATTTATCTTAATACAATGTACGAAGACAAAATATACAATGAAAAATAATTTTATTCTTAATAGTTGCATATGATTTTATTTTAAAAATAATTAAAATTTAACTACCTACCTATATTAATCTTATAATATATGCTAAAAATTATTGATTAGATGTTTTTATTTAGAGAAACTCAAACATATTAAATATACATATTTTTAATTTCATTACCTATAGGGCCTTCTTTATTTTATAGGTATTAAGGTATAATGTACTTTATTTTATATGAATAAATAATAATTATACGATAGAAATAAATATTTTAATATATGTATAATTATGTTATTAATTGAATAATTTTATTTCAGTGTAATAAATATACTAAAGATTTTAGATAAATTTTAATATTGCGGATTTGTAACTGTGAAGAAAAAATTGTATTATTCTGTGTAATTTAAATGAAAGTTAGGTTGGTATCAAGTTTAAATTTCCTAGAATAAGTATTTGACAAAATATACTGATCATAGTTTTAAAAAAGTGCTATAGTTTAACACTTAAAATTTATCATTAATTAATATTTATATTTTTACTATATTTGATCGGATATTCGACATTATATCACTTCAATCACACCAGCTTAGGATATCGTAGTATGTTTTGAAATTAATCAATAATTTTAAAAGCAATAATAGTTTTTCAAATTTTAAAAATGATTTAGAGTGGATATGTATTATAACCACATTAAATCTTGATTCGAACAATTTAATATCTACAACATTGCGCTTGAAAAAACTATTAAGGAAATATCGAAAACAATTACTTTCTAAAAGTATCAACAACGCACAATTATCAATCGAATAACTAATTGAAACTTTTAAATTACTCTTTTTATTTAAAAATATCAAACAAATATCCACATAAAAAAAAAAAATCACTACAAGACAAATTTCTCAACATTAGAATCTATGATATATAATAAAAATGAATTCTTGATCAATATTTAAATTTTAAGACAAAGAATTATACTAATTACCATTATCACATATTCACCTATACATTATGTTTAAAAAAGTACCCAATAAATACAATAAAGTTATGTTAAAAAATAGTTTAAATTAAATTGTAAGTATTTTTAAAATTTTGAATACAAGATAAAATCTTAAAAGCCAGTATATTTTAGGTTTTATGATAATAATAAAATCAATACAGTTAAAATGAAGTACTTGTATTAATTTATTTCTACGATATTTTTTTTTTCTCGTAACTCATGTTGTTAAGTAAAAGCCAGATCGCTAAAATAACTTTTGTAATTCAATTTACATTTTTCCATCGTGTTTTTCAACGCAGTAATATGTTGTTTTTTTAATAATATTATTATTATTATATACATGTCGAACAAGGAAACAAATATACATAGTGGAAAGGCAAATCGAACAAACAACGAAAGAACGGCGATGTATGCGAAGTATAACGGAAATATTTATTCGGTGGATTAAATGGTCGATCCAATAATCTGCGTCATCAAAAGTAATTTCAAAGTTCACTTTTTCCCCCCCGTCTACCGCTATCGTAGATATTAACTACCGGTAAAAGTTTTGGTAAAGAGAAATGGAAATAAAAAAAAAAGTTTCGAAAAACAAGTCCCGAACAAACTTCGCGCCAAAAAAACTTTTCCTTAACCATTCGACGGCAGCGGTGTCGGCGGCGGCGTCTGCTAGAAGATTGTCAGTGGCAACAAACATAACTGCATTATATTATTACATTGTTATACAAGCGTAGGGGCCAAGTTTTAAACAGTATTTTGCTCTTCGTTTACCCGTGTCCGGCCTTCGCGGGGTAAGTACGCCAACCCCGTCGACCCATGGACTCCGGGTTACTATGGCTATGCCGGTCCGTCCGCTACCATTTCTGCGTTTCGTAAAACTTTTCCCATAATAGAGGATTTTCAACGACGGCGCACTCGACAAACTCTTAATAGACTGAGTGCCGACCGAACGACTGACCACGTCGCGTAATTATTTCGTTTTATTTAACAGCAGTCTCATTTCAAGATTTACTTCGACTGTTGTTTATTCATTTAACTACAAATATTGTTTGAACGAACAAATCGACCATCTACACACAAAAATCTGCTATTAAACACTGTAGTTTTGTTCAAAGCATTTATCCGATAAATATCTATCTTTATTGTGTGTACAAATTGTAATGAAAATATACCAAAAATAAAGATATAAATAAAGACAAATAAAAGCACAATATATATACAATACGTATATAGTGTAATATTTCCATGTATCCTAAGATTCGTTTTACAATATACTTACAGTTATTACTAAAATATATAGTTTTTAACTGCTCAAATAACATGAAGGTTATGAATTAATTAATAATTTATATATACCTAAACATATATTAGAGTTTAAGTATCATTATTTATTACCATTTTGAACTTTTTTTCTAGTATCAAACATTTTTATACTTTTTCATTTATTAACTTACTATTACTTGTTTTATTTTTAGTGGATCATAATCTACATAATATATTAAATGATAGCAATAAACTAAACCAAGGATTGGACATTTAAAATTCATG